TATTTACTACTATGCCACTAAAAATAATGATCTATGTTTCCATCCCATAAATAAGCACTGTTAACAGCTTAGCATGTAGTCTTTCATTTTGTTTTCCATGAGTATGCTCACACGTAATTTATTTCCTTTTTTTTTATTTCGGCATATTATGTGGGGTACAGATTTTAAGGTTTCAAAAAATGCCCATTCCCCCCTCCGACGCCACGGCACGCACTCTAGCCTGGGCAACAAAGCGAGGACTCTGTCTCAAAAAAAAAAAAAAAAAAAAATAGTATGGGTTCCAGCTCTAACCAGGAAAATATAAGATGTGCTATATCACGTTGTTTCTTATAGCTGAATAGTACTCCATGGTATACATATTACCACATTTTATTAATCCATTCTTGGATTGATGGGCACTTGGCTGTTTCCACAGCCTGCAATTATGAATTGTGCTGCTATAAACATTCGAGTGCAGGTCTTTTTTTTTAGAGTGTCATTGGATCTTGTGGGTGAGATGCCCAGTAATGGATTGCTGGATCAAAATGGTAGATCCACTTGTATCGCTTTAAGGTATCTCCATATTGCTTTCCACAGAGGTTGAACTAGTTTGCAGTCCCACCAGCAGTGTAGGAGTGTTCCTCTCTCTCTGCCTCCACGCCAGCATTTATTGTTTGGAGACTTTTTGATAAAGGCCATTCTCACTGGAGTTAAGTGATATCTCATTGTGGTTTTGATTTGCATTTCCTTGATGATTAGAGATGTTGAGCATTTTTTCATATGTTTGTTGGCCATTCTTCTGTCTTCTTTAGAAAAGTTTCTGTTCAAGTCCTTTGCCCACTTTTTAATAGGGTTATTTGATTTTTTCTTGCTGATTTTCCTGAGTTCTAAGTATATTCTAGTTATCAGCCCCTTATCAGATGCGTAGGATGCAAAATTTTCTCCCATTCTGTTAGGTTGTCTGTTTACCTTCTAGACTATTTCTTTGGCTGTGCAGAAGTTTGTAGTTTGATCATGTCCATTTATTTATTTTTGTTGCTGCTGTGATTGCCTTTGGGGACTTCTTCATAAACTCTTTGTCTAGGCTGATGTCTAGGAGAGTGTTTCCAACATTTTCCTCTAGAATTCTAATAGTTTCATACCTTAGGTTTAAGTCTGTTATCCAGCGTGAGTTGATTTTTGTGAGAGGTGAAAGGTGTGGGTCCTGTTTTAGCCTTCTACAGGTGGCTATCCAGTTTTCCCAGCACCATTTATTGAAAAGGGATTCTTTTCCCCAGTGCATATTTTTGTCTGCTTTGTCAAAGATTAAATGGCTATATGAGGATGGTTTTATATCAGGATTCTTTCCACTGGTCAATATTCCTATTTTTGTGCCAATACCATATTGATTTTAATTACACAGCTTTGAGTATAGTTTGATATCTGGCATGTTAATGCCTCCCATTTTGTTTTTGTTGCCTAGAATTGCTTTTGATATTTGGAGTCTTCTTTGGTTCCATACGAAGAGTAAAATTATTTTTTCTATATCTGTGAAGAATGCTGATGGGATTTTAATAGGTATTGCATTGAATCTGTAGATCAGTTTGGGTAGTATAGACATTTTAATGATGTTGAGTCTGCCAATCCACGAGCATGGTATGGATTTCCATCTGTTTACATCCTCTGCTATTTCCTTCCTCAGTGTTTCATAGTTCTCCCTGTAGAGGTCTTTTACCTCCTTGGTTATGTATATTCCTAGGTACTTTAATTTCTTTGTTGCTATATCACATGTATTTTTTTATACAATAATGGAATTGTACTATGCATAATGTCTGTAGCTTGCTTTTAAAAAGCAATTAACAATATGTTGTGTGGAGTTCTACTCAGCCACAAGAAACAGTGGTGATCTAGCACCTCTTGTATATTCCTGGGTAGAGCTGGAACCCATCCTACTAAGTGAAGATTACTACACAGCTACTGCCAATTGTATTATGGGACTTGATTTATTGACATGGAAAGATGTTCACAGTATATTGGAACCCATGTCTAACTGTGTTTTCCCCAGTGGACACAGTTAACTTCTTCAAGCCGCAGTTCCCTGATGGTTAAAGGAGGTAAGTGAATTTATTTCATAGCATTGACTTAAAGATCACATAGGATTATTTACACAAGCATTTCTCAGAGTGCCTGAAACTACTAAACGAAAGTATTTACTACTATGCCACTAAAAATAATGATCTATGTTTCCATCCATAAATAAGCCACTGTTAATCAGCTAGCATGTAGTCTTTCATTTTGTTTTCCATGAGTATGTCACACGTAATTTATTTCCTTTTTTTTATTTCGGCATATTATGTGGGTACAGATTTTAAGGTTTCGAAAAGATGCCATTCCCCCCTCCAC